CTTACTTTCTACTTCTTACATTTTGAACTCAAATACCTGTACTTTCTACTTCTTACATGTTGAAACCAAATACCTGTACTTTCTACTTCTCACATGTTGAACTCAAATACCTGTACTTTCTACTTCTCACATGTTGAACTCAAATACCTGTACTTTCTACTTCTCACATTTTCCAAACAGGCTGGTTCCTTTAGTCTGAATGTGTGTTTGGTGGCGTGATCATTATTATTTAGAGTCATTGCGTGCCTATTGATTTGAACACGATCCGTGCATCCATCATTTCCTGGTCTTCTCTAAAGAAGAGGGACCAATGAACACGTTGTCATGTTGCCGTTGGTCACCATGGAAACATTCATTAGCTAACAATGACATTATTGTTCTATTAATATAAAGGGAGGTCAGGTACTCTTTAAAACAGCTGCTAGTTATGGGTACTTTTTACTGAAGTACATTTCAAAGCTCTTTACTTTGACTTGAGTAAAGAAGTTTAGTCAGTACTTCTACTTTCACCAGAGTATTTTTAAACAAGAGTACCTGTACTTCTACTTGAGTAAAGGATGTGTGTACTTTTGCCATCTCTGCCTGTTAAACTGTGTGTGTGTGTGTGTGTGTGTGTGTGTGTGTGCAGACTCTGCAGAGCGCCCCCTGGTCCTCTTCCGCCCTCCCGACCTCCTGAACAGCACAACCTTGTTGCTAAGCGACGACGGCTCCACGCTATTCGTCGGGGCTCGAGACGCTGTGTTCTCATTGGATGTCAGCCAGAGTGATGTCATCAGCCTGAAGAGAAAGGTGAGCCCTGTCTACTATATCCCCCATGATGCTTTGTGGTGATGATGGATGTTTAGTGTTTTCTCTTTCTGTCTCCAGGTGGAGTGGCGTCCGTCTCAGAGTGAAATCACTGAGTGTCAGAATAAAGGGAAGGACGCTGAGGTGATTACAACCTTTATTAAGTGATATATTTACGTTTCTGACACCAAATACTTCTGCAAAAGATATAACAGGTCTTTCTGGTCCCTGACCGAATAACCCAGGTCCGGTTGTTATACAACATTCATCCCATAACTTCAGGATTACATTTCACCTTTGCTCATGCTGATGGTGCGTTCAGGTGTCTCTTAAAGTCTCAGTTAAGGGTTCCTTTGAATAAAAACACCTTAAGTTCAGGTGTCTCTTAAAGTCTTAGTTAAGGGTTCCTTTAGATAAAAACACCTTAAGTTCAGGTTTCTCTTAAAGTCTTAGTTAAGGGTTCCTTTAGATAAAAACACCTTAAGTTCAGGTGTCTCTTAAAGACTCAGTTAAGGGTTCCTTTGATCGTACCCTTCGGGAAACTCTGTCCTCGATGTGTTCATGAGCTCCAGGTTTAACATCATGGACGTTGATGTGTGTTGGAACCTGTTCAGAGGTGGGAAGTAGTGGAGTACAAATACTTTGTTACTCTACTTAAGTACATTTTCTGGTATCAGTACTTTACTCCACTACTTATTTTTCTGACCACTTTTTACTTTGACTTCTTACATTTTGAAAACAAACACCTGTACTTTCTACTTTTTACATGTTCTTCTTACGTACTTTTTACTGAAGTACATTTCAAAGCCTCTTTACTTTGACTTGAGTAAAGAAGTTTAGTCAGTACTTCTACTTTTACCAGAGTATTTTTAAACACGAGTATCTGTACTTGAGTACAGGATGTGTGTACTTTGCCATCTCTGCTCCCTGTGTCTCTCATGTTGTCCTCTCTCAGGTGGACTGTCCTAACCTCATGTTGTCCTCTCTCAGGTGGACTGTCCTAACCTCATGTTGTCCTCTCTCAGGTGGACTGTCCTAACCTCATGTTGTCCTCTCTCAGGTGGACTGTCCTAACTTCATGTTGTCCTCTCTCAGGTGGACTGTCCTAACTTCGTGAGCGTCCTCTCTCAGGTGAACTCGTCTCACCTG